CCCGGAGGCGGCCTGCGGGTGGGGGGCGCCTGTCCCCGGCCTGCGTGACGCTGTAGTGCATCGAGATAACGGATTTTAGGGGCTGGCGGGCACAGAGGGCGAGAGAAGAGGCGGCTCTGGAGGAAAACATGGAACTTTTTCACATTTGACCCAAACTAGCGAACCTATTGTAAGTGGCGGGGTGTGCGTGTGTGCGTGTGCACAGAACCAGGCCTTTATTTGCTGTCTCTGATGTAAGAAATGGATGTTTCTTAGGTTTTCTTTGCAGATAATGCATTTAACAGCCACGGGGCCACTGAAGTCCTTGATGTCGTCAGTTTCTCAATCACGATGTGACGTTGGCCACGCGTGCAGCCGGCAAAGGATTCCCACGGGACGTGGCTTTCCGCCGGACCACACTGTATGGCCCAGCCCCCCTTCCTTGGGGTGGGGGAGCAGACGGTGGTATTTCTTGCGTCTAAAACTGAAATTCTGAGAAGCACCCGGGCAGGGGACAGCCCCCCCCTAGACCCGGGAAGGCGGAGCGGAGAGCGGCCTGCGCAGCCTGACTCCCGCGCTCGGGCCACACGCAGTTTTGTTTTGTTTATAAGCCTGCAGCTGATTCTACGGAACGAAAGTTTAGGAAATGGCTGCATCCCACAGGAACAGCGTAATGGCATTATTTAAACGAGACCAAGACGACCCGTCTTTTTTTTTTCCTTTCTTAAAAAACTTCCACTATCCCATTTTAGTTTTTATATTGTGGTTCCTGGAGAAACACAACGTTCTGAGTCAGACCAGACGAGCTGCCTTTGTTCTCACTGTTGCGTTTCATAGGCTGGGGGCCGGTGACCATTCTCTTGAATTCTATTAAAACGGTGCCTAGAAATTATACAAATCTCAGCAAGAACGCAGACCTCCACCTTTGGAGCCTGAGCTTAGCTGTTTCTGGGCGGGTCCCTCCGAGGAGCACGTGCCCCAGGGAACGGTCCCTGGACTAGAGGAAAAGCCGAGAGCCGACTCCATGGGGCCAAAGAGCCCTCGGTCAGGGAGGCGGCGGGCGCTGCGCAGCCGGTGAGCCCACGTTTGTCTGTCACAACCTGCGCCTGCTCCTCCCGCCACGCACAGCCCCCGGTCCTCCGAGCCCGCCTGCTGCAGGTGCACGTGGGCACCTCACTCCCGACGGTGCCGTCCGAAGGCCACTGTTGTCAGGATGGCAAGAGCCGGAATCATTACCCGGGGGAGCCCCGTAAGTCAGCTTGGACCAAGAGATAAGGGAAGCCAGGCCATTTTAGCGCAAGAACAAAGATCGAGCCGGTGCTGGCACCGCCTGGCGCCTGGCGGAGCCACTGCCGTCAAAACTGGGCGTGTGGGAAACACCTTCTGTGGACGGTTTTCCTAACAGTCAGCAAGCCCTCGGTCGGCGGCGGTGATCGTAGTTCGCGGTATCATTTCCTCACCTGTCCTGAGTTCCCACCACCGCCGGGCACTGGAGGGCTTGAGGCAGGAACCCCTCCTGGAACCTGGGACACGTGCATCGGGCCACGGGCGCAGCCACGGGAGCAGGGCCCGCGCTCTGCGGGACCCGGGGGGTGGAGGAAGTCGCTACGCCCGGCCGAGGACCTGTGACGCCAGGTGGCCCTTCATCCCTGGACGGGTTCGCTTTGCGATAGGGGCGATTCTGTCCTGAGCCCCTCAAGCAGCCGAGGAGCAGGAGACGACGGGAACCTTCCTGGAAAACAGTAAAATCCGTAACAGGCGGGGGCTGTGAGCACCTGACGTGTCTTCCTAGCGGGTCTGCGCTTTCAAAGGCCACGTGGGTTGCAGAGGAGCTTTGAAGGTGGCTGGCTGGCCCTGGGCCCTGGGAGCCCCCGACCAAGGGCCAGGCCAGCGGTCAAGTCCGTTTCAGCTGGAGGGCGGGACTCGGCTGAAACGAGGGGCCCACTTTGAGACGGGTTCCTGAGACATTCCAGAGGCAGGTGTGGCCGCCGGGCGGAGGCCAAAACCCCACTGTCATCCGGCCACTAGGCGTGGCTTCTGCGCGGCTGGAGGCGTGGCTGTGGGAGAGGCCTCGGCGGTGGGTCTCCGCGGGCCGGGCCCACCACGGCCCCAACCCCATCACCCGCAAGCTCGGGCTCACTAAGCCGGGAACAGCTTCCGCACAGGGGCGTCCGACGCGCCCTTTAAACAACAGAAGTTCCTTTAGAAAGTCCGTTCACCTTCCGTTTCTGTGTGGG